GAGGCGCCTAATTTTTACTAGATATCCCCGCAGGCCTAATATTTACGACTTTTGTTATTGAACAAAGTCACTGGTTCGCTACAATTTTGTCCGTCTCCGGTCTCTTTTAACTAACTAATGAGGTCATCAGCCTCATCAGAGCATCTTCGGGGTGTAGCATATCGATATATTAGACATGCATCATTGCGTTACGTCTCATAAGGCATTACAATGTTGAGTATCTTCACGCCTATGCAGAACATCTTTATTTTCAAATTGGATTCTACTTGGATTAAACTCTAGAATCTTGCTCGATTGCTTGTCTAATATAAGAGCATCTTCTCGTATAGTCCAATTCACATAGGATGAGTTCTGTGGCATTTACAAGTTTTACGTTGCACACATACTATTAAATAATTAATAAAAATAAATAGTAAATTTGTCGTAATGTTGCACAAAAACAAATAAAATTTGTTGCAGTTGTAATTTTAAATAAAAATTTCTGTATATTAAGTAGAAAGAAAATGAAATGATAAAGATAAAAATAATTATGCGTAAAACGGAATATTTTATCTATAGATTTATACCATAAAATCGATAAATCGAATCAGCTATTATGTATTCCGCGTCAATACGAGTGCACACCTTGTACGCGGGTCGTTTTCTTTTGTTTTGAGCTTTGCGTGATGTTTTTGAAGTACTAGTTTAATTTTCGTTTCGTCGCAGTTGATTTTATGCTTTGTTGTTGACTATTTGTTTGGGCTTTGTTGATTGTTTATTTGTCTTCAATTATTATGCTATTAAGTTACCAACTTATCCTTTTTATTTTGTCTATTATTAGTTCTTAAATTATTTTTTATAAACCGATTCTCTCTTCGTTACAAATCATTTCGATAGGATATAAATTTTTAATCAATTTTTTTTTTAAATCCCAGTTTACATCATCTCTAGAAACTTCAAACCTCAAATGTCATGCTGTGAAATTAACTATAATTCATTATCCAAGGGCTAGTTGAATCAATCCACTATGACAGTCTTTGGAGTATTTTTTTATTACCGTTTACATACCCTAACGAACTGAACAACATGCTTATAAATAAACAGAACGTTGACCTAGTACAAGTCAATCAATAATATTAAATTCGTGAATAAAATTAAAACGAAACAAATATTTTTTTTATTGTTTGTGAAATTTTAACAATCTCAATTAATACATTAAATATAAGTAATACGTTCTTTCGACGTCCATCATTTGACGACCTCTGTGGCCGAGTGGTTTGTGGACGAGGTACCCGGTTCGAGGAAATATAGAAACGAACCTTTCTATATTGTCTAGGGTCTGGGCGGTGTGCCGTCGTTGCTTCCGATATCCATAACACAAGAGTGCTTTAGTTACTTCTTTGGGACCAGAACGTATGTGATGTTGCCTAATATTTAATATTTATTTATTGAAATGTGTCAAGCTGATCATGATGAGCTGTTACGTAATTGTAAATGCGACACATTCTACTTTTAATAAGGTTTATTTATCCCTACCAGCTTGCAATATTTTTAATGAATTTGTAAGCATTTCGTTGAAGTACCTACAATTTCTCAACTATATTTATCTCGACTGGATAAAAAATGACAAAAGTGACATAACCGTACGCGCAGTCCACTTACCGCCGTTAGATCAAAGTCGGCGCCGTTCATGGCAGCGCCTGCGCAATCAACCTGATTGCGCCTCCTGCCTCTGGTACTACTATTATGCGCTCTATTTTCACTTCCAATCAGCACCTACTTCTTAAGTAGTAAGGAAGTTTAATATTAAGTCTTGACTGCGGTATAAGAATTACAAATTGTGTATTCGACTACCAAAAACTTTACCCCTTATTTCTAATAATAATAAGCGGAAAATTTGTCATGTTGTAAAATCACGACTCCCTAGGCCAGTAGGTAGTAATGAGAATTTCCAAATTTGCCGTGAAAGAATGGAAACAAAGAAGAAGAACTATATAAAAATAATAATTTTCTTTCTTTCTTATAGGTTGACCGAAAGTTTGATTCGGTTTTTGCCACTAACTTAAAAAAAATCTTTTTAAGCGAGAAACTTTTAAGTTTATAATTGATGAAAGACGTCCAGAACTGTGAATCACAAAAGTGTTCTTGTACAAAACCTCATCCATGGCTTTCCCTCAAGTCCCTTCAGATACTTATAAAATTCATTGAATGTACACGACTTTGATGACGAAAAGGCAATCAATCCACTTTTAGAGCTGTATTTTATAAGTAAAGAATGGATTTTTATGAAAGAAGAGTTCTAATATTACCCGAAATATTCTTGTCATATCGATGGCATACAGCGTATTCAAATGACAATAGAAAAAATACTTCAGACATTGTCCATATCACGTTACTTACAGAAAACTTAGGCCATAATTTAGTAAAAAAGGTTGTCAGAGAAAAAAAAAATACATTAGGTTATACACCATGCCTCCGGAACACATGTGTGTGCACTTCCAGTGCTTAAATGTATCACAGATCTGATTATCTCAGATCAACCGTAGGAGTGAGGCAGTTCCCTTTGCGTACTGGCTGGTTGTTGCACAGGCAACACAGACAGTATACGTCGTTGCGAGTGCTATACGGGTATATTATTTTAGTCATGGAAATATCAATTAAGCACGGGCCTTGAGCAGTACAATACTAGCACGATACGAAACAGCTGGCGTCAGTGACATATCGTTAGACTTGCTCAAGCTGAAGTTACTGCTTCAGTACCTTGACCCGCGCCTCTATCATACCCCATTATTTGTACAAGTGGCTAACTCAAATGAACATTCGTAATGAGTGGATATAACATCGTTTGAATCATTGCTCCGCGCTACAAGTCGACGGCCATTAGTGAGTCGGAGCTGCTGGGACTAAAATTTCTTCAGGCGTAGAGACAAGAAATAGTAATTTGTAGGCTGCAAAGTTGTGACGCGATTGCTCGTATTGAAACCTGAACAAGCGAAGGAGACTAAGATTACACCTCGTAATTTTTTGTGTTTGTTTTTTTTGTGATTTTGTGAGATTAAGTGATTATTGAAATTATTTTTGGTTGTTAGACGAATTAAAACAATTTAATAAACACAATTAATTATCAAATATAAATACAAATTATAATTATCATTATCAATTTAAAGTCAACAATAATAAGAATAAAATATACCAACGTATTTATATTATATATATAAGTAATCGCGTAGTTGACCATGTCATTGTCCGTTCTTTTCTCCGAAAGAAAAAATTAGGTGTAACACAGTCCATCGTCAACTTCGAATTCCAGAAACCTTTTCTACGCTAGCGTGCAAAAAACGCTTTTGCGCGCAAGTTTCTAATGAGAAAAAAAGCCTTTTAATATGAATAGGTAACAGAAATGAGAACTTTTTGAAAACGCTACGCGCAGAACATTTGTTTCCTGATATCATGAGACATTGTCGCTGTATAAAGTATATGATTTGATATAATGTCTTCGCCATTGATAGAAACCTATCCTATCCTATAGTCCTGCAAACACGTGCTATTAGGTCTATTTATAAACTAGGCCCCAGAGAAGAAAGAAACTGACATTCTTTCACTACCGTCACGATACATTTTATGGAAATATTAAAAACTATTAGTTTTAATTATTAATACAAAAATCAAATAATAAGAAAGAATTCCTTCCATTCTGCTCGATTCGAACCAACGTTTTCCAGCAAACCGTGCCAGACGCTATGCCAACTAAGCCACGGGACGAACTAGTGGACCTTACGAATTTTTCTATGTGCTTGTTGCTGATCCTTGTTTTTTAGTTATTAACGGCTTTTTTCCGTAGCGCCATCTGTGAGAACCCTATTTCTCCACTCAGCAGAAATGTCGCTTTATATGTAATACTTAATTGTAACAAACTAATAGTAATTTCAGAAAAATATTTAAATGACATGGATGTCAAACATTTGTGACATTCAATAAACTACAAAATTACTATTTATTTTTTTCACGTAAAATACTGTTTAATACATTCGTTAGATAACAATAACAAGAATACAAGGGATAAATAGTAGATTGTACGACAAGTGCATAAAACGCGTCATTTTACCCTAAAAAAGGTTATCATGGTGGATACTTAAATCGAGGGTAAAATGGGTTTTATGAACGAGTTATACAGTGGAGTGGAGTCATTTGCCTGTCAAGTATAAAAAAAAAAAAAAAAAAAAACACTACAGCAATATTACAAATAAACGATTCTTTAATTAAAATTGAATGTAAAATTACAACAATTAGACATGTAACACGGATTAAAAAAATAAAAGAAAAACTTCTTTTTATAAAGTTCCAGTGTGCGTGGCTGTTGGCGCAGGTTATTGCCTCAGTCGAACGACGATTTTATTTTGTGCACTAGAGCATAAAATCCTATTTTATGCCAGCATAAATACGAACTTTAAGAGCATGAGAATCGAAAAATTACATTGACAATGACATTCAAAATTCACAACTTTTAAAACTAAAGTGAAATAAACACTTTATACTAAAGGTTATTATTATACAGGAGCTGTAGTAGCGTACTTCAATGACAATAATCCAGTGTAGTGATAGCGACCCGTTTAGCTCTTTCTGTTGACTATGATATTTTAACTCTCAACCTTCCTAGGGAAAGGGACGTGCGCCTCGAAACTCTCCACTCGGTTTATTTCATTCTACCGACTCTCGCCCCTTCCCTGGGCTACTACACTCCTCAACTCTGTACTCGCAGGATCACCGCAGTGTAATCTGTATGACTGGGATAGAGAGACTGATGGCTGAATGGAAGAGAGTGCCAGAGAGAAAACAGGATGGATTTTAGTGATAATAATAATTTAAGTTTAAATTGGTAACGAAATGTTTTGTTTTCAATTTTTATTTTTTATTTTTAATTCCGGTTGATTTTGTTTTTATTTCGTTGTTGTTTCTAAATTGCACTTGTTTGTTATTGAATAAATAAATAAATAACTAATTACCTAATGTTTTCGTTTCAGACGACCTCATGATATTCTGCACTAGATAATTGTAAGTAACGACTTTTCTTTCTTTTTTTAATTATTTTATTACAAAATACTGTCAACAGTTGCTGAACTCTTATACTGTATCCAACTGTGTCACATTGCATTGTTTCACTTGACAATTACGTGAAGGTAACATTCGTACAATAAAAAAATTTGAAGATTCTATTTCATTTAAAAGTTACAACATTAGGTATACAAACATAAATTGACTACGGCACTAGCTGAACATGTGTCTACAAAGATGCTTGTCGTAAGGCTTTTCACAACTTTAACCGCGTCTTCGCGATAAACGGATTGTCTTTCGAATAATATTTTCTGAATTTACGTTTAATATAAAGCGCAGTCAGCAATCAATCTGATATTTCAAGCTATTTTTGCCCTTCCACATAAGGGCATTATTATTCAATGCACTATTGAGGCACGTAAACGGCAGTCGCGCAAGGCCCGCAGGCCCCTTATAAGGCCCGCCGGCCATTCTCGACCGCTTCCTATAACACTCTAGATCTACTTTAAAGATTCTTTTCCGAGGACGAATGCGAATAGAATAGATAGCTCGTGATATTCTTGACCTCTGTATATTGATTATACAAAATATTGTTAAAATTGACGGTACATCAAGTCTCGTGGATTGTACGCATTAAGTAATTAAGTTTGTGCACATCCGTTTCATTCGTTAGATCCTGATAATTATTGTATAATTTTCAACGTAGTTTTGGAGAGTAATATCCAAGAACCGAGTCTGAGATATGTTGTCTCTTTGTGCGCTCAGAAATAAGCGATTACAATGTGTATGAATTTATCATTATCCGATTTGCTGTCGCCGATTCGTGTTTGTCCCAAGCAGAACTGCAATTGCTTTGAATCTGTCCAGGCACCACTCAGTGTCACTTCATCCACGTTTTCACAACGTCAAAGAATTTCGGCAAATTTGTAAGCAGGAGTTGTTTTTTAGTTTTTGTATCTTAAAGATAGAAAGACTCTAAATTATAATTTAAGATTATAATTGTTGTGTTAAACATACGTGTTTAAGTATAGTATACCCTTTCTTTTGTACATTGTCGAAGTTTACTAACAGACATCTCTGACTTCCGATAACTCTCCGTCTTCGTACTTCTATATAATATATTATGTAGTATATAGATGTCGTTGTGGCGCCCAACCTCCACGGAAGACCAGCAGATTGCTTGACCACAAAATTACACCGACTGTAAATTTGCAATCATTCAAACTTAACTACCGCGTTTGTTTTTTATTTAGATCTTAATCATGTGTACTTAAGGCTTAAATTAAGATCTTAAAACACAAACGCGGGAGTTAAGTTTACATATTTCAAAACTTACACTAAAACCCCAGGACAATGCGAACCATGTCGCTGATTCGACAGCACGCGGCATCAGACGACTTATAAATATATTGCATACACACACGTACAGTCATGCAAAAATGTGGTTTATGTAAGATGTCGCTTTGAGAGTTTGTGCCACCGCAAATAATTACGTCTTGTTTGTTGAGAGATTGCTAAAATGGAATCGGCACCAGAATTCAGCTCCGCATAATTTGTGCCCAATCAAAAAAGGTTTTTCTAAAGTTGTAATTCTTTCTACTGGCGTTTAGAAGTACTTAAAAAAAGTACATAAAAAACTGTTAGGTTCCGTATCGAATTACTGACGCCCATAACGTCCCTACTCAAAATGTCAACTGCAGCTTGAAGACAGACAATAGGTCGTTGTGTCCGAGTATAGGCACTGATACCCTATAAGCGGACGGACGTGCGTCATTCCCTGATGGACTTGCATAAAGTACCTATTCAAACAACTTGTGTCACGCCGTTTGTCGACTGTTTGGAAAGGGAATTTAAAAAAAAAAATTAGACACTATTCGATGCGCAACAATGCTCTGATGCAAATATATCTGTCCGAAAAATAGGGGTTTTGCCATAAACAGCACACACAAGGTGACGTTACGACGTAAACTACTTCGCACCTGGATGTAGCTGCAAACGACTGCTGGTGAATTAAATAATGCAAATAATGGAACTGTCTGGTACTACGTACTGCAAGTACAAAGTGCAACAGTATCCTCTCTGATAAGTGTAATGTGATTTACCGTCGTTGATTTTTATACAAATCGTGATAGTAAAAAGTTTATTTTTAGCGAGATTGTACGATAAGAAATTGAACTCGTTATCATTGTTTTGGTTATTAAAGAGTAATTGGATTTCTTTCAGCAATTTTATCAGGAATTTCAATGTGCCTTTTGTAATATGAAATTAAATGAAAGTGTATTGTCACCCTCAACGCCTATAACATTTCCATTTAATTCAAGAGCGATACTTTCTTGGACGGTCCCGCCGTCATTCTTTGTAGCCCGTGTTACTACCAGCTGTACTACTACTACTTTACCGTATTACTACTTACAGGTCCAATAGTAAGAAGGGAATTTCTTTTTATCCGTCGTAACTTTCCTGTGTTACTACGTAGGTACCAAACTGGGCCAGTGGTTATTAATTTCGCAAAAAAACTAACCTAAAGTCAAACAATACAACAAAAAATGCTAAAATTAGCGAATAGAAACCCAACCTTTACTCTTTAATAGTTTGATTTGGACTTATATAACAAAAAGTTTGCCTTTATAACAGAAAAAAAATCATCATTCTCCTCAAAATATCTTGAACGTAGTTTCTCAAGAGCATGTCCAACCGAGATGGCACCATTGATCAACTGCATTAGAATGTACGGCACATTCTAATGCAGTTGAATGTACGGCACATTCTAATGCAGTTGGTGTCATCGTTTACAATATCCCTTTTCCTTTTTGAAATTTATCATTGTTTGACGTGTTTTTAATACAACTTTTTTGGCCATCTTTGTTGAGCTCATTTAATAACAGCCGTACGTGTTATTAGTTCGGTGCCTTCTACCATACACGCTCATTTGGTTAAGATATTCATCTTTTATCAATGTACGCATGAAGTAAGTCAAAAAATTAGTTGATTCATTATGAAATTAATAAAAAAAATCTTGCTATTGGCCTAGTTACTCACAACCTCCGAAGGTGTAATTGCCCGTTTTACTATTGGTAGTGCAGCGGTTGAAAATAACTTCCTATCTTACTACTTACTGGGCCTGTTGGTAGTAATATGGGAAAGTGTTATTTCCCGTGTTACTACCGGTAGTACCAGAATTCCCAATAGAACCAAAAGGGTAATAATTGGTACTGTAGACACAAGGAACGAGCTGTAGGATTCTCTGGGACATGCAGAAAGGTTAAACAAACACTAAAGTATCAATGTAATCTGTAAAGTAATGTATGTATCATATTCGTGTAAATATTGCTTGTGAACTTCTTTGATTTATAATTTTTTTTTATTATTATTTTTTATTTAAAAGGGAATAAATGCCATCAATTTCCAATGCCCGAAATCAGGAGCTGGGTATAGAATTTCGTTTGTGCCATTCGCCACGTCTTGTACTAATTTCATTCATCTACGGATCGCGGCTTTGGCAATGTCTCCTGCTCATCTCGCTGCAGAATGTTCCACGTTTCTGTAACCACCGCTTTGCCACCATTCGGTTGTTACTTTACTCCCATCTGTCAACCAAAAAATGCAAGGGTTTACAAATGTGAAAGATACGATGCTTTGTACAATTACTATGGATATTGCATGCACTAGCATCTTGGGCACTCGAGGATCCAATTTTATTCATATAATTTAATCCTTTTTCCTTTGCAATATTTAAGCTTTTATTCTATTATATCTGTATATTTCTACCTGTCGTCTAATATGCATTAGCTGTTTTAAAAAAGGTAGATAAAAGTTGGTGCGACACAAAGCGGGAACAACCAGTCAGGCGGTCCGACTTGATGACGTGATGACAGTAAGTGGGCCATTAGGTACAAATGTAACACTTTTTTATGATACTTAATCGTTTTGTTGAGGAACAAATTTACTTCTCATTTTTGTACGATTCTTCTGTGTCCCCGGTCACTTTATCTAGAAACAAATGTAACAAAAAAAACGCAAGTGACTTCATACCTCGTAATTTCGATCGACTGTGTGGGCACACATGGCCGCCAGCGGTGCGCATGCGTCGGTATTTAACTTGTAACGATCGAGAGAAATTGAACTCTACTTTTTTATCTTTTAGTTCCGCATTTTACAGAACTCGGTGGCCATTCCAAGGGTTGCATAATTCTTCTCCGATTTTCTTTAATGCTTGCTCATACACCCGGTCGCCCTTCTGTCTCTTTCTTCTTTCCGATCACCTGGCTTCAGAAAGGAGTTGCCACTTAGGTCAAAGGACAGACTTGTATAATCTCAGTACAGAGTATTACAAACCCAACCGCAAAAGTCCGTGGAATTACATCTATTTGCCAAGTTTTGTTGAAATCGGTTACCGCAAAGCGCGCGAAACCGGATTCGTCCCCTAGTTTATATATTCATTTAGAGGTGGAATATTTTCTTCAAATTTAAAAGGGACCACTGCTAAAGTACCCTCTTTCCAACGAAAAGGGATTATTAAAATCGGAGTTATCGCGTAACATACATACAAAAGAAACATACAGTCGAATTAAGAACCTCCTCCTTTCTTGTAATCGGTTAAAAATAGCTGCAACTTCCAAAATTCAGCTCTCCCGTGTAGCGTTGGTAGAGAATGTACAGGGTATTGTTTGAAACCATCAGACTGGTGTCTTTTTTTCCCTCGTCGGCTCTCGCTGCTCCACAATTGCAACACCATATGCAATACACCTTATCGAAGATAATAGCATTGACGTTCACGAAAAAAATTTAAAATAAATAGTAAACCTAAAAATTGAACCACAAGTATTTTGATTATGATTACGAACAAGTACTTAAAGTTATTAATTGGCGCAAATGCGGTGGCGGTGCGGCGCTCGCGCAGCGACAGAGACCTTGAAACCGGTTCGTTATGCAACCTTTTATTGATTCACTGTCAGATGCCTCATGTATGTACAACCTCCTTATAAGTCTTCTTTGGTTTT